ATCATCTTTTCTGAAAAAATCAATTTTTTTATTTTGAATTTTTAGGATCTGCGTGTTTTTAATTTCTATCCGATTTATCTAAAATTTTTTGATACTCAGAGCCATATACACAAAATCCTGACCCGGATCCTACGTTCCTCTAGAACTATTCAAATCAAATAATTATTTATTTATAACGAACACCAAAAGTACATACAATCATGTACACTTAAATGGATAAATAAACAATAAAAATAAATGCATTAGTGTTTTTTTTTGATGGATTCCATACTTTTGATGGATTCCATACTTCTGTTGCATGATCTAGACAAGGCCTTACATATGTTTTGTAGCAAAATACCAGCTTATTTATTATTTAGTTTTAATTACTCTAAATATCTTGTGTGTGCTAAATAAGCATTTTTAATAATTTCCTCTAATGCTGGAAAAATGATAAACTAGAAACAATTTAATACCAAGATCACGAACGCTATCTACTTCACTCATTTGTTTTCCTAATACCTTATATGTCTATAATTATTATTTTTCCACATATAGAGAACAACACATTTTTCTAGTGAAATATCTAAACCATTATGAATAGACCATTGTTTAATACATGATAAACTGTGATACGACTATTTATGATTCTGTGCGAAATTAAATTAAAAACTAACATTCTCCCTCCTTTTTCTTTAAAAAGACGAATTTTTCTTTCATGCAGTTTTGTCTTCAAATTTGTATAATCAATTGAAAAATATTTTCTTAAACTATCTATGCTTATATTTCCATATAGGTATAATACACACAATCCTTTAATAAATGGTTCCTAAATTTTTTATTAAAAAAAGAAATTACTATAAAACAAAAAGTCCCAGGTGCAGTGTTCATAAATTTCAATTTTGCTTGTACTCATACGTCGTAATCCTTTATTTCGTACCTAAGTATGAGTACGAATTTTGGTAACAGATTATGAACACTGACCAGGTGCTAGCCAGCATTTGCAGAACTCTAAAATACCTACCTCGATTTCTTTTCCTGTGTGACAATATTTCGGATAACGTTCATATGCTTTTTTAAATTCCAAATTTTCATTCAAATAATTTTTAATAATTTTTTGTTGTGTTTCCCCGTCTAAAGTAAATTCTCTTATTATTTCACTTCCAAATATTTTACTTTGACATTCGTCTATCTCACGCAATTTGGACTTTTTTGACCATATATTTTGATTGCTACTAGAAGTCCCTTCGATTCTTTCAGTATTTATTTCGTTTATTGATAAATATCGTTCTTTATTTTTACCCTTTTATTAAAGTAAAGTTAGGATTAATATTGCAAATAAACACCAAATATTTTTAGGGTTCTCCAATATAGGATTTTCTATTATTTAGTATAGTCTGATTAATCTTCGATAATCTACATGGTGTACGGAATTTTGGTCACTGGAATTTTGGTACCAAGATTTTTCGGAACTTTGGTCACCAATTTTTTGGAATTTTGGTCACCAGCGGAATTTTGGGTACCAAGTCAAAACTAGATTCTTCAACTTGAGTAGGACCCGATAAATTGCCCTATAGACTCTAAATTTTCTTTTTCATAAGATTTATAAATGTACTTTCAATACATAAGAATCCTCTTGTGATGAATTTTCAGATTCTTCAGTATTATATTCTTCAGGAGAATCATTCGCAGCAACAGAATATAATAAACAAAGAATTAAATTTAATAAAAACAAATTAAATTTATTTCTTAACATCTCTTTGAAAATTAATTTTTAATAAAATATTACTTTTAAATTTTAAACCCTTTTAATATTTTAAAATTTTAAAATGCAAAAATAAATTATTAAACGGCAGAATAACTTAGCTATATACCATCACTGCAAAATAATTTATTAATTATTTTAAGTTAAAATTTAAAAAGAGGACTTGCGGATAGAGAGGCAAGGTCATGCGAAAATGCCAATAAGTCAGTAATAAAAATTAATATTCAAAAGTACAATCAAGATCAGTTTCGAAATTTCGATTTCTAAAAATCTTTACTAAAAATTAAAAAAAGAAAAAAAACTTGGAACTCGGAAATAAAGTATTTTTATTCCAGGTAATGTAATATATACATATTTCTTTTCATTTTTTATTTATTGTTTCGACTGGCACAGTCTCATTTCGTAAGAAAGTCTTATAGCGGAAAGATGAGTAATCAGAAGTCTAAAAAAAAATATAAAAATATTTAAATTCAATTTAATCATTCAATCTTTTAGAACTTAATCTCTAATATTTATTACTTTCCATTAGTTATTTCCGTTTCCCTAAAATTTTCCATAATAATGTATTTTAAACTAAAAATTGTCTTCTTTTTTTTCCTTTACAATAAATACTTTTCACTTTGACCTATGTTCGCTCACCTGCTTATAAAATGTATTAATCGCCACTTACAGCGGTTCTTCTCTCGTATTATTCACTTTTCTAAAAGCTTCCTTTCTATAAGAAAAAAATAAATCTTTGTCTTTAAATTGATTCCATCTTTGAATTTATAAACTTAGCTTTAATAAATAAATTTTAATTGAATAAAGAACATTTTGAATTAAATTTGGAAAGAAATTAATCAAATGAAAAATAAAATAAATTTCAGAAGAAGAAATTTATCAGTTTAGCAGCAGAATAAACATTATAAATAAACTTTTTTTAATTTACTGTTGATTACTTTTAAAATAATATTACTTAAAAATACCAATTAATATTGGTACAGATGAATCGAAAAACTGCAATAGAAAAAGTTTAATTAAATAATTTATAAATTGTTATTAGATAAAAACTTGATGTGGGTAAATTTTTCTGAAATCTACAAAAAGATTTCACTCCAAACCTAAAGATTAAACTATCATGTCAATTATAACGAGAGAGAAATTGGCGAATTATTTTAGAGGACCTCGAATTATTTTAGAGAACCAATCAATTGATGGAACTTGCTGTCTCAGTACTTGCAGAAGATGCGCCTTAATTGAGCCGCAAGCAAAATTTTTGAAGGCAAAGAGATCGAATTCATCTATTTAATAATAAATAAAACATTTTAATAAAAAAACATAATAATTTATTTCACAAAAAAATTAATTATCTGAATTTTTCTTTATTAGGATTAGAACCTAGCACTTAGTTAATTGAACAAAATTATGGCCTAACAACTATCCAGTTAAACAAACAGCTCATTGACCGAAACGGGAATAAGACATTGAATAATATGCTTGCCCATTCAAAAAAATGGTACTTTTCCGTTATGCCATCTCCCCCAAAATTAATGCTCAAAATGTCATATATGGGGTAATAAAAGGTGCTGAGTCGAACGGTACCACTACCAATTTCAGGAAATGATTCTGGACCGAGTTATAGGTCCCCGAAAATCGAAAAACCATAGGGGGGGGGGGAGTAAGCTCGATCTTGGGTAAAAAATTCGAATATGCAAATAATACCTCATTCGAAAGAGCTCGTCGAGCTGAGTCGAATGACACCAAAATCAACGTGGTTGAACAAAATTGAACCGAGTTACGATACAAAAAATTGTGTGGTTCTTCAATTTTTAGGTACCTGTATCTCGGTCAAATCAAATCAAATTTCGGAGATTTTGGTGTCATTCGACTCAGCTCGACGAGCTCTTTTGAATCTGCTTTTATTTGCGTATTCGAATTTTTTACCCCAAAATTACCCTATGGTTTTGACCATTTCGAGCCCTCATCTCAATCCACAAACATCTCCGGGGAAAAAGAGTGGTACCGTTCGACTCAGCCCTTTTTATTACACCATATATGACATTTTGAGCATTAATTTAGGGGGAGGTGGCATAACGGAAAAGTACCAAAAAAATTAGTTTTAAATTTAAAAATGTTTCTTTAGCTTAAATAAATTATCAAAAATAAGTTTCTTCTTATCTTTCTTTCAGTTTCTTTTTAAACGATCAACAAATACATCCATCAATATAATTTTCTGTATATTCCTCAACCTTCTTGTTACCATTTTCTTTATAGTTTCCGAATAATTTTTATTAAATTTTAATTGCAAAATTTTTCAGGGTTATCATTATCCTCGGGGGTTTTATTATGTAACATAATTCACGGCTTTAAATCAACAAATCCATGTCAGAATTAATATTTTTATCCCATGCTACTATATATAAAAAAATTTATTATGTTATTGTATGGAACATGAAATATTAAGAAAAATAGTCATGAAGTTACACCTTAATATCACAAGGTTTCTTATAGCACTTACGTATCGTGTGAATTCGAAATAAAGTTTATCATGTTATCCCGTGTCATGGCAACTATAAGGTCAATTCATGATGACTGAAACTCTCAAAAAATTAATTAATTTGTTTGACATTTACCTGGAAGAATTTTAAGGCGGAATAGTGTATTTAATAATTTTTTTTTGTAAATGGTGGGAAAATAAAATGTAAATAATTGTAAACAATTTTTTCACGTTATTTGTACAATTTTTCATTTTTATTAAAGACAGACTTAATATTTATTACATTTAAAAATTAAAAGTAAAAAACGAGAACAACCTTAAGATTTCTGAAATGCTATTATAATTTTAGCTACTATCGCACTATACGCGGGAAGCAATAGTTCACGGGCATTGGTTTGGGCATTTGGTTATATCATTGTTTTAATGCCCATAAATGGGTATTGGTTTAATCGTGGTAGCTAGTTTCTAAAATAATTCCGGATTTGATGTTAGATGACTTTTCCATTTTTAGGTGACAGGAAAAAAAGTAGATTTTTATTACAATTTAAAATATATGAAAATTAAAACAAATTATTCATTAAACAATATATTATTTGTTGTAATTTATTTATGCTAGTTGTCATTTTTATTTGTTCCCATCATGTACAAATATTCTCCATTTGTTGAATATTTTTTTATAAAATTAAGTAAATAAAATAAATTTTCTGCATATAATGCGATAGCACTTAATTCATTAAATGTATTATTTAAGAATTCTTTAACATATAAAACATAATTAAAATGAGTATTTCTAATAATATATCTGCATCATTATTAACATATTTACAAAATGGTGATATTTGCAATTATTTAAATATAAGAACAACGTCAAAGGACGATTCTAATAATTTGACAATCAAATTAGATTTATTAGATCAATTAAATAATAAAACAATTTTTGATTTTATTTTTTCAAATATTAATCACCAATTAATTGTTGCTGAATGTACATATAAATATTATTTAAATTATATATCTGTAAGCTAATTTAATGTATAAATTAAACTTTTTTTAATTTCAGACTCCTCAATACAACAATCTTATTCTAAATTTACGTAATATGGGAGTATGGAGTGGAAACATTTTTTATCATATTCTTCCGGCTATTTTTGCATTCATTTCTATATTATTAAATATCAGCTTAATAATTGTCTCTTTTAAAAAATTAAAAGTAATATTATTTTATAAAGACTTGGTCACGGATATAGATAAAATCCGAAAGTCCGTAGATATCCGACAAACGGATTAATGTTTACGAATTCAAAAAAATTTACGGCTAGGTTTGATTTGAAAAATTTGGGGCTGAAAATTAGGCTCCGGTATATAGTTTGAATCAAAGTTTTAAGTCCGTAAAATTCTATGAACAATACTATTCTGTTTTGAATTGATTTTTTTATTTTCAATTGGTCTTATAAAATTTAGTAGGCTCGTAATTCATAAATCTCCGATGATTATTAAAATTTTTATTTATCGGCTATTATCTAAATCCGCCCCCAAAAAAGGATTTCTTTATTTAAATTTTTGTTTATTAATTGTTAGACATGCACAGTTTAATAACAAATATCTTAAAATATTTCAGTCCAATTTATTACTTCCATTTGATTCATTTTGTCAAATATTTGCTCTAACGCCATTTATTGTTAATTTTGTTTATTTATTATTTGGTATTACAACAATAGATTATAGATTATGTTTTTGGATATCTTTAATATCAACTATTGGGTCTTATTCTTCTTTTTTGGCTATTTTCTTTCTTTCTCTTGAAAGAATGCTAATTGTTTTCTTTCCTTTAAGGTTTTTATATCATGTATATTTTAATATGTGTCACTAATTAGCAAAGGGATTATTAAAGCTTTATTTAAAATCCGAATAGAAAATTCCCATATCCGATTTTTTCTCGTCCGGAATTCGGATTCACCTATCTTAATTTCAGCTAACCTTATTGTAATAAAGCGACTACGATTCATCATTCCCGTCGGGCATTGGGTCGGGTCCAGTCCCTGATGTTAGGACCCGAATGCCCTAAACCCCTTATTTAAAAATAATCTGTAAATATATGTATTTATTTCTTTATTTATTTAACAATTTATAAAGTGGGAGAAGGAAAAGTAAAGATAATGAATTGGTTTTTTGTGTGGATTGGCCAATCCCTATACTAGGTTTATGGATAGACAGCTGTTCAAAATGATTACAATTATATAACACTTATTTATTTAAACAGAATGCATGTAATTCCCGATTCAACAATGTTTCGTTCTTATATAATAATTTATGTTGTTTGTTTATTTTTTGGTGGAATTATTTCTTATTGCCAATTTAATATTATAACAACAATAAATACACCTTTTGATAAGTAAATAATAGATTAAATCACATTTTTTTAAACATTTTCAGTTTTCTTTATTGTAATTCTGGATTATATTCGGATTTATTTAGTAACAATTACAGCTATATAATTTTTTCTCTTTCTATTTTCAATTATTTTTTAATATTTTGTAAAATTATTTGGTCTTCTTTCGGAAAAAAATATTTTAAGTCAAAAAATCAGATTTCTTCGAATAATGATCGTCCAGAACGAGGTTATTAATTTTTAATTTTTTAAAGTAATAATTTATAAAATAATATTTGGGTTCTTTAGGTAGAAAATTGCCTTACTCTTAGAATTAACGACTCAATTTATTAGCTATATAGTAGGGATGGATATTCTTCCGCTTCCGCGTTCCGTCTTCCGTCTTCCGCAAAATTTCGCTTTTTTGACCCTTCCGCTTTCGATTTACTGTTCGATTTTCAGGGGTCTAAAATCCTGGGAAAATTTAAAAATGGACCATTTTGAGACAATTCTACAGATTTTTTATCACCTCACATGTTTTTAGACAAGAAAAACATTTGTTTTGGTGTGTTTATGTCGAAGCCCTAGACTTTTTTTCAAAATTTTTATTTTTTAATTAAAAAATTAACTAAATTCAATTTTCAAGATATAAAAGCAAAAATCAAAAATTCATTTCGAATTCTACGCTCTGTTTTAATTATTTCTTTAATTCTTATTTTTGGATGGCTAATTTCTTCTATTGGAAGAAATTTTTTACAAAGTAGTATTATAATACCGCTTGCCAATTTTTTGACAAGATTATTTATTCCAAAACCTAATCAACAAAATTCTATAATTATTCAAAATGTTATGACTTTAGCAACTTCAATTATAACATACATCTACATAATTACTGCTGGAATTAATGCCATAATTCTAATCATTTTCAAGTATAATAAAAAAATATTTTATTTAATATTTATAGCCTCATACTCTGCCCCAATCCTCGTATTCTTATTTAATAAAATAACAAATATCTAAATTTTCCTGAGTTTCTTATATGAATATTCATAAAATAAAAATAACTGTAAGAAACTTGTTGACTAACGTGAATTAATTGATGAAACTAAGTTTTTAAATTAAAAACTAATTATTTATTTTTATAATTATGACTCTAAACAGACTTGAATACCAAACAAAAACACTGAGCAAACTTACTGAGTTAACTACGATAAGTGTATCCATAATTATAAATTTATATAAATTATGCTTACGACTAATTTTTATTCTAAAATTTTTTAAAATTTATAGCAAGGAATACAGAAATGCATATAAATCAGTATTTGGCAAATTATTTCGAAAGAACAATGTTTCTCCAAATCAACCATTATTTATTAAAAGTGATAAGGGAAACAATAAAAATAACAATTTGAATAATCAACAAAAATGAATTTATGTAAATATTAAAAGAATTTTATGATTATTTTTTAAAATTAAAAAAATTAAATAAAATTTTCATTGTCATGCTTCTTGTAAAATATGTAAATCGTTAAATCTCGACTTAGTCCAAACATTGTATAAATTATTTAAACGAAAATACTATAAGAATTTAGTATGTTTAAAAATCGCTATCTATTTTTATGTTCGGAACAATTCTGTACTATCGTAGTAATACAAAAAGTATCGATCCGGTACTTTTACGTACTACTTGCATTGGTAACAGGGAACGTCCCGTCCCGATCCCCGAAAATCGGGAATTCCTGGTATTGTGGTGGATTGGGTTAATTGTGGTGCAGTTGGCCCGGTCTTAGGACAGGTAATCTGATTTTGTGTAGTAGCATTGTATGGTACATTAAAGACTCGTCCTTTGTTTTTTACTTTAAAAAATCAATATCCAGGTAAATCAAAGAATGAATCAAATGGTACAAAACGAATGGTACAAATGGTACAAAACGACTTTCTTTAAATTGCGTGCAATAGTTTACTACTCCTTTGACTATAATAAAATCTAATTCAACTTCTGTGCTTTTACATGTACGACACGTCCCACTCTGTTCATAGGGAATAAAACGAGAATGTACACATTTCTATTATCCTTCTTTAATTATATAGGCAGTTATTTTCAAAACGGAAATAGTCCTTTAATGTTTGTAAATACTTGTAAAAATTTCATTAAGTCTGGTTTTTCAATTGTTTTTCAATTTTTTCAATTTTTCAATTGAGTCTGGGTATTTTGTAGTTTGGATCCTAATTTTATGGAGCGTATTAACTTTGTTCTTAGATGTCTAACTACAATATTATTATCGTGAATGTTATTTTTTATTTATTAAAATTAACAAAATTTATTATCAATGTTATTTAAAATACACAAGAAGTTAATCAAATAAAGTCAATCTAACAATAATAAATTTTAATAAAATAAATAATTTTTAAAATAAATTTATTTTTTATATCTTTTTAACAAAATAGTCCTTTAATTTAAAGCCAAACGTCCGACAACAACATTCAATTTTCCATCAATATAATTTTCTATAAATTCCTCAACTTTTCTTGTTATCATTTTCTTTGTATTTTCCGAATATTTTGCATTTAATTTTAAATTATAAAATTCCTCAGGTGTTTTATTATATTCGTTAAATATTTCAATTAAATTATTAACTAGTTTAATATTTTCCTCTTTTGTCGTCAAATAATTAGTTTCTGTGTCTAAATACACAAATTTGAGAAAATTATCCACCATTGTCATTAATTTTAAAAATTCAAGTAATAAACGAAATAATAGAAGATCACAAATTTTGTCAGCGGATTCTTCAGGGTTCTGAACATAAATCCTATTGTTGTCTAAAAATATATAAATAGTATAAAATAAAGTGACTGGACGCTTTTGTGTGGTTGTAATCCCTCCCCGTGATAGATATCTTCCTCATTCTTGGAGCTTAAAATCTTTTTCCACTCTGCCAAAACGACTCTCCGTCCATTAGAATTTACTAATAATTAATGTTTTTGAAACAAAAGTTAGAAGGAGATTTCGATAAAAATTTCATTCTATTTGGACCTCAATAAGATATATAAAATCAAAAAAATTTTTTGTGAATCTACAATTAAGAAGCAAGAACCTACAATTAAAACTCCAAATTAATTCCCATTTAAAATCAAAAATAATTCCTCTAAATTTAGTCATAAACATTTGTATATTTTGTTTATTTCCCCTTATTTCTACATCATCAGAAGTTACTAATAAATGATATAATCCATTTCCATAAATTGCTTCTACAAAATTATCGTCTGAATTTTTATTCTCATAAACATCTCTTGCCAAATTTATTATTTTGATATAAAATTGTTTTACTTCTAATGGATTAAAACGAATTTTTCCATTAAATTCCCATTTTCCTCCACATTTTTCTTTATTTTTTATTTTAATTTGTTCTCTAATTCTTTTAACTTTTTCTTCAATAGTCAGATCATCTTTTCTGAAAAAATCAATTTTTTTATTTTGAATTTTTAGGATCTGCGTGTTTTTAATTTCTATCCGATTTATCTAAAATTTTTTGATACTCAGAGCCATATACACAAAATCCTGACCCGGATCCTACGTTCCTCTAGAACTATTCAAATCAAATAATTATTTATTTATAACGAACACCAAAAGTACATACAATCATGTACACTTAAATGGATAAATAAACAATAAAAATAAATGCATTAGTGTTTTTTTTTGATGGATTCCATACTTTTGATGGATTCCATACTTCTGTTGCATGATCTAGACAAGGCCTTACATATGTTTTGTAGCAAAATACCAGCTTATTTATTATTTAGTTTTAATTACTCTAAATATCTTGTGTGTGCTAAATAAGCATTTTTAATAATTTCCTCTAATGCTGGAAAAATGATAAACTAGAAACAATTTAATACCAAGATCACGAACGCTATCTACT